CTAGTAGCATAGGGTCAACTATAAAGATAGCTGGACCAAGTCACGTCTAGACTTGCCGAAGTAATAAAAAAAAAAAATATTAGGTCAGCGGAGATTACAATTTTAATTCAATTTTTGCTTTAACTATAGTGATTACATTATTATGAAATTGCAAGTAACAAACTATTGAAATGCAAATAGCAAATTTAAATGCAAATAGCAAATTAACAAAAATACAAATATATTAGCAAATTATTGAGAAGGTGATGTAAAATAATAATGATTGTAGTGAATATGATATGTAACATTAGAATTATTATTATTATAAATATTTTCTTGAGATGATTCGTCAAATTCTTCAAATGATTTGTGTGAAGATATAGTTGATAAAATAATGTTTTCGTTATTTTTGATATTATTAAATTGAAAATCTAAAATTCAATTATTAAATATAGATAGCTAAAATTTAAAATATTTATACCAATATTAATAAATTATACCTTGTAATATTTTTTTTGCAGTTTGAAAAGTTGGTGTTATATTGTCTACTTGTGTAGTAGTATTCGTAAGTATGGCTTTTTTAGTAAGTAATGGATTTATTTGATCTATATAAATAAATAAAGATTATTAAAAATAGTATCAGTATTAGAATTATATAAATAAAAATATATAATTTAAACCTTGTGAATTATTATAATTTGCATTCGGTATAATCATTCTAGAAAGATCTCCAAGTTTATTTATTTGAATATTATTTTTAGGTCTTTCATATTGTGTCGAGAGATTGCTATATATTCATAATCACTAGCACCAAATAATTTTAATAATTAAATTGTTGTTTTACGTCCACTTTGATTTGTTATTTTACAATTAGATATGTCAATTCCAGATGCAATTACAATGTAGCGAAGATGTGCCCCAAGTTTTTTTTCTCCAACATGTTTATCTTTGTACCAAGTTTGTTCATCTAAAATATTTTAAAAATAAAACACATAATTTAATAGTATAATTTAAAATGATATTGCTTTATTGTAACAATAAATAATTTAAAAATTTAAATTACCTTTGGGATTTTCATCAATAGCTTGTAGATAAAAATGTAGATTTATATTATTAAATTGTTTTGAAAAGTACTTGTTATACACATTATTAATATATTCTAAATTTGGAATAGATATTCGATCAGCTTGTCCTGGATTATTAATTCCACACTGATTAGTCTTAAATTTGTAAATCACAATATCATAACCTCCATCTTGACGTTTTTAAAAGTGATCCTTTTCAAGAAAATAATGTTCATTTCCTCTTAAAGCAAAGAATAATGCATTAAAGAAAAAAACTTTATTAAATAACCCCATGGAGTATTTTCTGATGTACAATTATGTTTTAAAATATGGAAACATTCATCAACTGTAAGAGATTCGGAACCTTTTGTTTCACCTTTGCCTTTAGCACTAAGCCATTTAAATTTTTTATTTAGAAGTGTATTAAGAGTTGAAAATTGCTGTTTGTCACGAATATTAATTCCTTTTAATGGTGAGTTTTCAGTAATATAACATTAAAAAGCAGCTATTGCTGAAAGAGCTAAATTCACAGAATATTCTTCTTTGTCAGAACGCTTTGCATAAGAAAAAAAGTGAATCAAGTTTGATTCAAGATCTTTGGGGTTTAAAATAGTTTCGATACTACCATCCAATGTATATTCTTTACAATGATCATTAAATTTTTTTAACCAGTTGGATGTAGAACACTTTGTATTTTTAACAGTAGCTTGATCAATAAAAAAAGAAATACAATCATCAGATTCATTTAATAATGTAGATTTTTTAGCTTTTGGCATTGTTACGAAGAAATAAATTTTTTTAAAAATTGTAAAAAATAACTCATCATTAGATTTATTTACTTTTTTGAAATTATATCATTATTATAGTTAAAATGTATTATGTAATTAATATGGATAACATGATCAATGACACTCCCAGATAATATCATTATCAGATAGAATATAGATGACATTGTGTCAGCATTATTTAGCAGCTATTTGTTGACTCAGATCATGCCGCAAAGTGGCATAATCTGAATCAACAAATGGCCACTAAATGACATTGACCCAATATCACCTATATTCTACCTGATAACTATTAAATATTAATTTACTATGAGGGTACCCCCTTCCTCCACATAAGACAATTCTGATTAGCTGATTTAAAAATATATATAGTAAATATATCAGTCACAAGACATGTTCTCTAGAAATAAGTTTATAATAAAAATTTAAACAAAAACATATGAATTTACTATAAACTTTGAGCTAAATATCCTTCTTAGCTTAACTAATTAACTTAAAATTAAATTTTATGAATAGATAGAACAAGAAAAGACGAAAAAATTGAGCTTAAAAATGAAGTTAAAATCTTGTTAATTTTGCATGATTTTAAAATGTAACTCTGTAAAAAACAAATATTTACAAATTTTAAAAGAAGAATTATATG